GTTCATAGTAAGATGTATTCAGTGTTCTGGTGTGTTTTATGTGTTCATAGTAAGATGTATTCAGTGTTCTGATGTGTTTGATGTGTTCATAGTAAGATGTATTCAGTATTCTGATGTGTTTTATGTGTTCATAGTAAGATGTATTCAGTGTTCTGGTGTGTTTTATGTGTTCATAGTAAGATGTATTCAGTGTTCTGGATGTGTTTGATGTGTGCAGTGATCCATTCAAGCAGACTAACTGTTACCTTTCTGATTAGCTTAACATGTTCTTCTCTCAGATTATTGTAGACATCTTTCATTTTCTTAAATTTTTCTTCATTTACTTTTACACGTTCTACAAGAACACATATTATAGCACAAAATGCAGACCTTGTCAGGTTAATAAAGTGAGTGGTAAAATTAATAAATATATATTGTTGAATAACAAATTAAAGTGCCACTGTTTTTGTGTTACGATTGTTCAATGTAAGCATGGATATAGTCCATGTAAATCATTTTTAATGTACAAAATGTGAACGTTTGGTTAGAGAATACGAACAAATCATCTTACTGAACACAAGAACAAGAATATATACGCATATGCAGATCACTCACTTTCAAGATCAACAACTTTTTCTTGAGGTACTTGACTAGCTAATGTGATTGATTCATCAAGTCTAATTTTCATGGTGGCACTGTCCTGTTAATAAGGTATAGAATAAAATGATGTGATACATGACCATTTAGTTACAACACGGTTGCTAAAAAAGATGGTCAGGAAAAGCTATTGTTAAAAGGTGTGAATCTGCCTAATCCCTCAAGGATGCGTGTTGCCCTGTGTACGCCCTCTATAGCTTGAGATTTCAAGGCCCATCATTTTGTTTCATTTTTGTGTCAATCACTTGATGTCCCACGAATTTGATGTTTTAAGCTCGTTTTCGATAGAATATCCACGTTTAGTGCACAAGCTCTACGAAGAACTACATGTACATTTCGGATGAGTACTCTTCGTGACTGCGATAACATTCAGAATCGAGGATCGTCATTTATCATTTTCACTGTTGTCATGAAAGTAAGCTTGGGTCCCGGAATAAAAAGTGATGAAAATTCTAACCCCTAAGTCGTTATTTTAAAATACATTATATTATAAAAAATAGTACCAAATGAATTTTTAGTATACTACTGTGCGTACTTATGATGGTTGTATGCGATTCGGGGGCTTATTTTATCATTTTGCTTTCGCGTAACTGTATCAGCAAATTTGTTTAAAGTCGTAACACTTTTTTTGTAGACGCCGTAGAAATCGTTGAAAATGTATTCAACACTTCCGCCAGCTTCATAAAAAGCCTGTTTAATTGTTCTTGTCTGTCCTTGTTTCAGTTTTTTGGAAAATTTTTCATGTTGCAATATTCAGCGTGCCGTTAAATACAGTTTTAGTCAACGCTACAATTTTTGAACACTTTCTAGCAGTCTCTTCGCCAAATCAATTTTTCTTAATTTCCTTGGAACTGCCTGTTGTTGCATATTTGGTCTGCTTACATGCATTTTGAAGAGCATGGGCGGGTCATTTCAGTTATCTTATCGCATATTTTGTTTATTTCCAACAAAATGTATGTGATATCATGGCTCCGCATTAAAACTTTCACATGGCTGAAATATAAACACTTGTATGGTTTCTTTGACGTCTTTTTTTCTAATCATGTTTTTTTTTTTCAGTTTTCTGCCTATCTTGTTCTTTAGAAACAAAAATGCCATACAAGACAGACAAATTTGTATTGAGTTTAAACCGAGCGACAGGTTTTGTCAGGATTCACTGTAACAACATACACTTTAGTATTACTAAAAGTATCGACACAGACACAAAAAAATGGCGTGCAGTTGTTGATTGCAATGAAAAATGACGTCATATTTGCGTGATTTCCTGTCTACATTTTATGTTAATGATTTATCACAGATTAGTACGTCTTTTGTTTCAAATATTTACCCGCGACACGCATCCAATGAAAAGAACACGGTTTGTTTCCTAACCGTCTTTTTTACCACACAAAATAGTAACATTATATTCAAACACAAATTTGGATTATCTCCAGATTACCGTAAAATCTGTATTAGAAGCCACATCCCTAATAGAAGTCGCACCCATTATTTTTGAATAATTGAGAATCAAAAATTCACCATTTCTCATATGTGTAGATGCTCTAATAGAAGCCGCATCCCCTCTGTTGCATTCTATCATTTTAATAGAAGCCGCAGCTTCTAATACAGATTTTACAGTAATATGGTTGCAGATCAGGAAAGAAAAGAAAGGGTGGCAAAACTTGTGACTGGATTAAATTGAACCACTCCCAGTAGTAGAACAGAAAACAAATTCTTGCTAAAAACCTTTCTCTTTAATGTATCTCTACTACTAAACAAAGTTTCGCTGATTTTGTGACTTCAAAAAAATGTGAAATTTTGGCTTTTTAAACAGAATCACATATTATTAATTGACTTTAATCAAATTTCATCGCCATAGATACTGTGGATCAAATCATGAACATTCAGTGAGACGAAAACAGTTTCACAGTATCACCCTAATGATGTCAATAATTTGTTTTGTATTTACCTCTTGAGTTCGTATCAGATCTGTTTCTAATTGGTTAATTTTCATTTTTAATCCATCAATAAGCCTCTGGTCTACATCTCGCATATCATCCATCTGTCTTCGTAGTGTCAGGATTTCTTGTTTCAATCTTTCTATTACTTGGTCTCTGAAAAGGAGGTTCATCAAAAATGTATCCACTAAAAATCCTAACATAAATCAACCTTAGCAATATTATAAATAAACAAATAATCCTGATATTCATTAGAGAAATGTTAGTTATGCCTATCATCCCTCTTGGGACATAGACCACCAACAAGATTCCTCCAACCAGGCCGGTCCTGTGCCAGTTTTTCCACTTCTCCCCAGGTATAGCCCAGCTTCCGGACATCAACCTCCAAGTCCCGTTGCCGGGTGTTTTTCGGACGGCCCATGTTTTCTTTTTCCCTGTGGGTTCCATTTCAGTGCTGCCCTTGGCAGGTTTTCATATGGTATGTCCCAGCCAGCGCCAGCGTCTCTGAAATACCTCCCGTTTTATGGGCTGTTGACTCATTCTTTCCCATAATTCCTGGTTGCTGATCACATATGGATATAATATTTTCAGTATCTGGTATTCTTCGTAGAGAGGTGTTGCTTCTTATAAATTCCACTTAAGTTTTATAAAAATCTTCTTTACAACAAGTTTGTATTTTACAAATCATGTACTTTGCTTAGCCATTGTCACTGTACAAAATGTTGTATTGCATATTAATTACTTTTACCTTCTTTTGTAATTGCTTATTATCTTATTTGTTAATGTTGTTCTTCTGTATTGTGAATTGTACGTGAAAAGTTGTTCTATTGTTTAGGTGCTGGCCGCCCATCTGACCTATCCTGACTTTTGTCAAAGTTTAATAATTAAATCAATAAATAAAAAAGTATGCAGGAAAGACATTCATATTTGGGCAGGATAACGTAATCCAAAATTTGGCAAAGGTAAGGTGGTCTTAACCAAAATTTGAGTTGGTTATGGTCATTAAACCATCACTTGTCACAGCTGCCTATGTGAGTAGTCTACTGTTCTTTGTTTGGTCTGTACCAATATTGTCAGTATTACAAATAATAACAAGTCATTGAAAATGATACAGTCCCTGTTAAATTTTTGAAAGTTCCTTTTGTGCTCTTCATATTAAAGCGGAGGGGTTGTCCCGAGCGCGTCCTTGAAACTTGAGTTCCAAGTGGCGTATACAACAGATTGTTTATTTATATCAAAACATGTGTTCCGTGTAGTACAGTAATATGGCCAAAAATAAAAACAGCCGTTATTCTGCCATCTTTGATCTGATTATGAAACACACTGATATGTATGATGTATGTGCCAAATACGAATGAAAATGGTACATAAATTGTGGAAATATAGTAGGAAGGCCAAAAAGTCAGATGGCTGTCAATCGACCATCCTCGACCAGATTTTGAAACAAATTGTCATGGACATGCATCCTAACATGTATAAAGTACATGTATGTGCCAAATTTGAATGAAAACTGACAGAACATGTCCAAGATACCACATAAAAAAAAAAAAGATGCCTGTCAGTTGACCATCTTTGATCCAATTGCGAAAAAAATCATCATGGACATGTATCCTAACATGTATAATCTATGTAACAAGTTTGAATGACAACTGACAAAGCATGTCCAAAACATTTTCAAAAAACAAGATGGCTGCCAGTCGGCCACTTTGAATCAAATCACTAAACCACTGCATGTGCATATGTCCCACATAAGGTACTAGGCACATGCAAAGAATGAACAGAATCGGTCCACAGGATTCTGAAATATGACTCTGGACAGACTGACGCACGGACACACGGACGGACACACGGACGGACGGACAGACTCAGGAACAGTCGGGGACATGTATCCTAACATATATGATCTATGTACTAAATTTGAATGAAAACTGACAAAGCATGTCCAAAATACAACATTTTCAAAAAACAAGATGGCTGCCAGTCGGCCATCTTTGATCTAATTGTGAAATAAATCGTCATGGACATGTATCCTAACATGTATGATCTATGTACCAAGTTTGAA